ACAATATTCTCACAAGCCCAAGTAAAAAAAAAAAAAAAAAAAAAAAAAATAAAAAATTATTCACTCCCCTACCAAGCAAACAATAGCTTTAATGGCCTCAAAAGCACCAAATCCCTTCTCTAAAGTTAGGGAGGCATGCCAGTACAAGTCTCAATTTCCCAATTTCCTCCTACTTGCTTCTAGACCCTGAGTGGCTACCTCTTCCTTGAAAAACTGACAATTCAATCCATTTGCTGAGAAACACACACTTAAAAAATTATTCACTCCCCTACCAAGCAAACAATAGCTTTAATGGCCTCAAAAGCACCAAATCCCTTCTCTAAAGTTAGGGAGGCATGCCAGTACAAGTCTCAATTTCCCAATTTCCTCCTACTTGCTTCTAGACCCTGAGTGGCTACCTCTTCCTTGAAAAACTGACAATTCAATCCATTTGCTGAGAAACACACACTTTATAGGTAGCGAAAGACTGGGAAGGGTGAGAAAGGACACACTGAAAGAGACAGAAGAGACTGCTCATTCAATTAATTCAGGTTTTTTATCTTTTCTTACCTTTGCAAGTCTTGCCCTCTTAATGAGATCATTGAGTTTCCGCACAGCAGCCTTCTGCGGGAGACTCTGGATATCCTTGAAAAGATCCTGTGCTTCGGCTTCAAAGAGTCTTCGATTCTCTGTGTTTTGGAGAGGATGGGCCCAGAAGGAGCCAATGTAGACCCGCAGCACCTCTGGAGTGTTGATCACCTTTCCCAGGGACCACATGAGTGCACCATAGACCCTCATCAGCTGCTGTGTGTCCACCTGGTCAGCTTTATTAAGCACCACTCGAATCTTGTCATCCTGGCCACGGAATGACTTAATAGCCTCTGAAAACTCATCAGATATATCCAGCTTATGGGCATCAAAAAGGAGGATGATGCGGTCGACTCTCTCAGCAAACCACTGGAGGACTTGGCAGAAGTCGTAGCCTGAAGAAAGAATACACTATTACAGTCCTACTGTTCAGAAAAGTGAGCCTCAGAGAACGTAGGGCTGGGGATACAGAACAAGGGGATCATAGCATCTGCCTGGGGGAAAAGAGGAGATGGACCACCTGGAAGAGAGTGTCTGTGGACAATGAGGTCAGGACAACTGTATCCTACATTTCCTTAGACTGGTCTCACTATTACAGTCTTTTGTGTTTATCACTGCCTTTCTGTCAACCTTGCCATCCATCTCTTGTGTCACTATCTTTTGTGCTGCTGTGAGGTACCATCTCACACCCATGTTTGCCTCTTCCCAAGAGTTTTGGCTGCAGCAGAGCGCCCAAGCTAAGCAGGTCTGTTGGGCTCTTATCACAAGCTCTCTTCATCTAACTCTCTTCATACCAACAAGGAAACAGTGCAGGTGCAGCATGCCAGCAACTGAAAATATTTGGATTTTAAAACCATTTCCAAACTCATCTCTCCTTGCGTTGCAACACTTCTTGTTATTTCTGCCACAGCAGACTCAGAGATCCAATTTACAAGTAACGTTACCTGCATTGCTGATGGCTTTGGGGGGACGTGACAGGTTACAGAACACAAGCAGTGACCCTTCTGATCATCTGAAACAAACTTCCTGATGTTCTAAAGGAAAGCCTATTCGTAGTACCTGTCTGAACACTTTTATAAGTGCAGCTGGTACCTAATCCACACAACAAACAGTATTCAGAAACTCCTTATTCAGAAGTGACACATTTAATCTGCAGAGAATCACCACTAGTGATGAGGCACTGGGCTTGGCGTGGATGTGATTCATCTTGTTTGAGTAAGGAACAGCAAGGTATGAGCTGGGAGCCAACATCCCACCCCTCCTCTTCCTCTCAGAAAGAAATTGGAGCTAAAAGAGGGAGCAATCAAAATGCAAGGACTGGTGTAAAGTAACCTAAACAGAATCAACAGTTTCGCTCCCAGCAGCACATATTTAAATGCCAACAGCAAAGAAAGCTCAGTTACCACCAGTGAGTCCCCCAGGGTGTCTTTGGTCATTTCTGAGCTTTGCAAGATACGCCTTTAAACCGTCAATCCCCCAGCAAAAAAACAAAACAAAACAAAAAAACAAACACTTAAGACTACTCACACATGAACTAATTACCCAAACACTTCATACACCTGGTCCAGATACAAGCAAAAGACTCTTCACCACTCCTCATTCTCCCTAGCATCTTTTAAACAGTATAAATAAAAGGGTATGGGGACATTGTAAAGTTGCTTAGTTTTTCTTAAAACAATGCTGGTTCAGTCAAGTCATTATTCATTATACCTTGAAGTTGTTGGTCTTTAACAGGGAACCCAAAAGCAAATCAGCTTTTTTTGCTTTCCAGTAGAACCTGACTAGGGCCAACATCAAGAAAAGCAGACATACATGAAAGTAATAGGAAAAAATGGTGAACTCCAGATTTGTCATGAAGCATACTTGTGCACATTTAGCAATATAGGTAAGAACTGAGTCTTAAATCTTTTGTTTAAAAATTACAAATAGCATATGAAATGATATCCAGAAATTCTAGTTAATAGTAAGAAAATGTTCGCAGTTACCTATCTTCGCCCACCCTCCCCAAAAAAGAGACCATAAAACTTCACTAAAAATCCAGCACAGACACATCAAATTGAAAGGAGAGAGCTATGTTAAAAAGGTGTTATTAGGATCCTAAAGGATGCAGGTCAGGCTCATTAACTGGCTATACAAAAAAAAGCCAACATAACCTTTCTCATTAAAAGGATTACTTTGTAAGGAATGCAAAACCTGGCCCCTTTCCAGATACTGCTACTTTGGTACGTTCTTCCCTGTGACCAGTTTCTGAAGGGCTGAACACAAGATGAAAGATGGGGGCAAGGAGGAAAGCTGCACAAAACACAGCTGGAAGAGAACTCTTCTCACTTTACACTAGCAATCTAATCAAAACCAGTACGAATAACTTGTCTTTATTAAAATTTAGCAGGAAAGAAAGGGAGAAGTGAGATCTTGTATGTCACTGGCATGTCACAACATAGTTGCAAGAGTGCACGAAACTGAGGTACACAATAACCTGTTCTGATTTCACTCATGTAGAAGGAAATATGCTTGAAATGAAATACAGAAAATTGCAAAATGAAGCAAGTTACATTCTATTAGGTTTTCCACAAATGGATATGTGAGAAGGTGACTCATAAGGCTGGTTAAATAAATACATAAATTCCTACCACACATTTAATGGATTTTGAACTGTAAAAACAATTGTACAGTCAACAAGTGTATGTTAACTAACAAGCAATTTATTTTAAATATGAATTAAGTATTAATGAAGCATTTGCTTTGAGAAAGGAAAGTCCGCATGTTGAAAATGGGTAAGAAAGAGACCTCATAAAAAAAAATCTATTCATTTTAATGAAAATTTGTAATTAGAAGTGAACCTATTTTATACACAGATTCAGTGGTTACACATTAGAGTATATCTGAACTACAGAGAAGTGATATATGGTTAAATATTTCAGCACTCAGACACAACGCATTTAGGATGCTGTCACATACAGCACATGTCTGGATTAGGGCTTTCAAAGTTGAGTAGTACTAGGACAACACTGATCAGTTTGGAAAACTTGACCAAAAAATTTGGTGTTGATACTTCTCAGCCTCTTGCTGCTCTACTGTTGCTCTTTCTTCAAAGGTTTGCTCCCAATGACTGATGTCAGCAGTTATATCCAGCCTGAGGATCTATGTCTCACCAGGTACAACATCTATTTGCAAATGCTTATTAGAAAGTCACCAGTCACCCTTGTACCCAGCTAAGGGACAGAGGAAAGCAGCAATCCACCAGCAGCACTGCAGAGCTCTTGAGCTTGTCCCAAGCTGCAGGAAGGGAATGAGCTGGTGCCTCTGACAGAGGCATAATTGTTGGGCATCAGTAACAGGCTGAGCAGAGACCACAGAGGAGAACAAAAAGAAATAATGTGGAAGAGAGAAAAAAGTTGGGAGAGAAACTGCATGTCGTTACCAGCCCTGGAAATACTGATGTGAGGAATGATCATGAGGTCTCATATGTCATTAGCACAAGGCAAAGTACCAGCCCTGTGCATTACAGCCACCAGCCATACTCAAAAGATACAGCTGCGCAGTCGTGCAGTATGAGTGTGGGTCAACTTTCTGCACCAGTTAGGAATAAAGATTTAAACAAATGGTAGGCTTTCCCTTGTGGGCCCAAGGTAAATAATTTCCAACTTGCCCAACACCATCTCCCAAAGTTTTTGCAATTCATAAAACAATTAGGGTGGCTTGATGAGGTCCACCCATCCTCTGTGAGCACAGACAGGCAGAGTGTCCAGTTCTTCCACCCCTGGGGCTGGTGCTACTGGCACAGCAGAAGAAAGGTGCCTCTCAGATGAATGCTGCAATGATGAACCTCCAAGATCCGAGAACAGTATGTATATGAATCAGGGGTGGGCAGAGTGCTGCAGTGATCCCACCTGCCATTGCTGCCTAAGTACCACACAACCAAGGCTACAACACACAATTTGGACGTGGACAAGAGCAGCCTTTTCCCCCCTGCCCAATCTGCTGTTCTTCTAATGCTTTGCCACAGGTGAGCATCTAAACTTCCCAGTCTTTCAAATGGAGCTCAGTCCCACATGGAAAGATGCACTTTTTGCGGTCCAGGGTAGAAGTTTCAGTTATGTTAATGAAAGCCTGTCTCAATCCAGCACTCCTGGATAACACCCTTACTTCACTCCTGTTGGTGGACTAATCCTAAGGAGGACATACCGCGTCTCACTGCAAGGGAAAGCCTGACACAATGCTGCAACTATATACATCACCTTACTTAATCCATGACTACATTTTCACAAGCCAGATTGAACTGAGAAAATTACCTGTATTTAGGTAACTCCAGTTCTAAAAACGCAAGCTAACCAATATCCTCCATTTTCCTCTGAGCTCTTTCCCCATACTTCTTGAAACCCTTGCCTTCATGCCACTCAATCATGAGCCAAACCTCCCCTCCCTTTCTAAAAGAAGTTCCTCCCCACACCCTGCCAGAACTTGCTTCTCCTTCCTCCTCTCCTTAAGCTCATTGTTCCTTCCAAATCTTGCAAACCATACGCACATTTCTGTCTGACACGAGCTTCGTGAACGTCACTGGTGATGCTGCAAAAGCAGCACAGGGACGGGCATTGTCTGACCGGGGACAATGCTGGCGCACATCTGCACATTCTCCTCCAGCCACTTACGCAGCCCCTGAAGTGACAGGCAGGAAGCTTCTGGCACATCCTCCTGCCGACAACAGGAGCAGGAAAGATGTGTCAACAGAGACAGCTTTGAATGTTGCACTCTACGCATATTTTTGACTCTTCCAAAAGAGATCAGCTCCTTCATCCACGGCCTGGATGCCTTCCAGAGTTACAAATAAAACATGGGAAGTCGTGCATATCCTGTATTTTTACACAGTCCCTTTACTGTTTTCCTGCATTTTAAAACTGAAAGTTAACATTTGATTGCTTTGTTGGTCTCGGAAGGCTTCACCTTACTCCCAGTGATACCTGTCAAATTCTATCATTATGCAGGTGTTACATCCATTCATAGGTAAATACTTAAGCAGTTGCTTAAGGGGAAGATGGAAAAAACCACCAACAGCAAGGAGTGAAGGTTTTACACTGAGGTCCTGTAATGTTATTCTTCCATCAAACACATTAAAACACCACCAATAAGAAAAGTTGCTGCTCACCAATGTTAGAAACAAGCTAAACTTCTAGAAAGGTAATTTGAAAACTCAGATATGAAGAGACACCAATAATGTGCAGAATAGAAAGCATCTAAGAATACTTATCAGGTGTTATTAAATGTCATATTCCATTACTGAATTATGAAAAATCTCATCTTGTATATATTATTTAGAAAATAGCAGCATGATTCATAAGAAAAACAAAAGTTTAAGACAAAGCTTAAAAAATTTGCTGAACTATAAAATTTTGAAATACAAAATTGTGAAATTGTCAGAAAATAAATTTTGAAGAACCACCCTGTACATTTAGAGCTTTCCTGGCAAGTACAGAAAAGCATCCCTATGTTTAAGTCCATAATCACCTTCACAGTGAAAGGAAATGGCAGTTCCCATAGCGAAGTACATCAGCTGCAACCTTTTTCAGTAAGAAGCAGCCAGTGAATTTAAACATTTTGTAGGAAAAAACCTTTGATGCTCTGAAGATGTACAATCAGATCCTTCTCTGGCAGAGACACATTCAGGGACAGCAGAAAACCATCTAGAAAATCCCACTTACAACTGCACACAGTGATCTAAAAAGTAACCTAAGCAACTCAAACTTCAAAACACGCTAAATTAGACTTGTAGCATAAATACGTTGAAGTCAGTCTGACTCCTTCAGGAACCAGGTCAGACAGGCCTTGCTGTGTGCAGCACCACAGGACAAGTCAAGTTTGTACTCCACAAAACCATCTGTATGGAAATCGCATAAGCAGCCTAAAAGTCATATACAGGAAATGTATCTGACTATGCAATATCTCAGACATGGGTGAGCACATTATTGCCTAATCATAAGAGCATGCAATAGATCCATACAGTGACTTGTAGGTACTTCATGTATGCTGATACCTAAGCATATAGAACCTTAAACCCTGGCAGCAATTGCCGTGCAAGCCTGGGGTGCAGAGGGAACCGTGCTCTAAAGATGATTTGCAAAGCCTTAGTTATGGTACAACCACACTGGTTCAAGCTAAACAGCATACAGGAGAACCACATTTGTGATAAAAGAACTATGCCAAGTTCTATATTAAAGACAACCCTTAACACATTGAAAAAAAAAAATAATGAAATGCAAACTAGTCAAGTTAAAGCCTGTGAAACAGATAAGAGTTTGAGGTTATCACTGAGCACTGTCAACTTAGGTGAAAGTCTACCATACCAAAGGGCAGGCCAGGTAGGCCATAAAAACAATTGATAAGGCACATAGCATCAAGAAACAGTTTCTGAACAATAAAGGAACAACAGTTCTATGTTTTGTTAAGTCACAAGAGCAATTCTAGATGGCAGTGAAGAGCCACGGTCCTTTAACCAACACAGGACTACCAGTGAAACGCAACCTGGAGTAAAACACAACTCTGTCCCACACTGAAGTCTGGGACTTCCACAGAATCGCTAATGGTGTTGAATTTTGTCACACAATTGCTCACTTTTTCAGTGGCATATTAATATGATGCTCTAGTTTTCTGCTTATTTCATGTTCACTTCCATACTGTTATGAAAGTGGCAACAGATACTTGAATGCTGCCAAGCATCATTTTCCCTTGATTTAAACAAGCAGAGAGGGAGAAAGATGAGCCTAATTTTTCTTGGTGGAGGAAAAAGGGAGCTGGAATCCACAATGGAGAAGCAGAAGTAGGAGATTTAAGACCATCTTTGATTTTATCAGACTCTCTATGTAAACTGAGACTTAAATGTTCTGTGGACATCTTATGCGAAGATTTTTCAGGATTAAAGATCATTGGTTATACACTTGGTTATTTCTGCCTAGAAATAAGAGTGCCAACATGCAGTATGTTTTACTTATCTGGTTTCACAACTTTCAAGCCTTTGCTTGCACAGATGTAGCACACTCATGCTGTTCATCTCCACTAGTTCACCAATGTATCACCTATAAGAAAACACAGCTCTCCCCATGATGAATGCTTTCCATGACTGTATGAGCAATAAAGAGTATAAAAAAACCCCACATTCTGTCACTGAACAAAGAATCCAGAAACATCTAGTAGACTAGTTTACTAAGCCAGCATAGTTTAGATTACAGTCCTAAGAAGTTAGTCTCTTGTTCTGTCAGTGCAATGCAAAGACAAGACTATGGTTGCACAGCTGCCAGATATTGTGCTCATTCCAGGATTTCATCAAAAAATCCCAGGTGTGATACGTTAAAGAACTGATTATTTCCCCTCCCACAGATATGAAACACATAAGTTTCCATTTCTTAAGTAAAGGTCTGAAAACAGAAGGCAGCATAAGCCACACATTGGATCACTACCATTTACAACTCTACAGAAATCTCTGACACGCACTTAAATACAGCTGAAGGAAACAAGGAATAAAGTTATTTACATTATGCTGTTTTGTTTTAATAGTTTCTCAAAGACAGGCTAATTTCTTAAACAGCATGTTAAAACCAGGGTTCAGTTTGTTGCAGAATTTTATTAAAAATATTCTCATCCCCTCTTCCTCCTGCTACCTTAACTCTTTTGACTGAAAATTATATTATATTATGGCATGACTGAGCAACCTGAAGAAGCAACACTAGCAGCTGTGCCTACAATAAAAGCACCTTATTTATAGCCCGACCCCCTCAGTTTTTAAACATGACCAGCTTGAAGAGCTACAGCTATATGAAACATTTCTTCATTCATGAACTTCAAGAGTATATATAACAGTCTATTCATTATTACTTTGTGGAAAGCGATTGAAATTATGGAAATAAGGCTTTTTCTCAGGAGTGTCAAAGCACTAATTAGTCAACAAACCATGGAACCATAGCCATTTGCAGCCATAGCAGCAGGATGATAGAAATCCCAACCCCACCAGTTTTCAAGAGAAAAAATTCCAAACCCTACATCCAGCCTTAAAACATGGGTTTAACAGGCCTTGTATTACGAAAGTTTGGGACACACCACTGCTCAATACCACTAAAACAGGCCCGCAGCAGATTAGGATGGTGATTTGTCCAGTACAGCAAAAACAGTTAGTGAGCTCAGTTATTTTCAAGCACTGCAACCCACCTCTGCTGATGCGCTGCTTCTCTCCAGAGAGAATGCCAGGACTGTCAATGATACTGATGCTCTTCAGTACCTGGTTAGGTAACTGAGAACACATAAACCTGCAGGAAAGAAGGAGAAAAAAAACCATTAACAATTGCTCTAGCTAACATGTAGATTGTCCCTTGAGAGCTCCGCTTTATGTATCTGCTTTTAGAAACACTCAAGTGAAATTTAAAAAAAAAAAAAAGTTTCCGAAGTCCTAATGAACCTCTATGGCAACCATCCACGTTTAAGAAAACAAAATGTAAACAGAGAGCTTGTCGTAAAAAAGAAAACACAGGAAAACCTTGTAAAACCATATGTCTCAGTGCTGATAAAATTCCAAATTTTGCAAGAGCTGACAACATAGGCCATATATGCAACATTAAACAGACACTATAGAACAAACATTTTGCTAGGACCAAAATCAGTATACACAAGAAACAATTCTTCACGTACTCCAACTTTTGCCGAAATTCAAAGAGATTCAAAAGAAAAGGGAAGCAGGCAGAAAGCCATACGGACAATATGTTTATATTCCAGTCACTGGCAAGTCACCCTCTCACCTGCTCCAGCAGCATTTGAATGGTCCCCATTACCCTCCTTAGGTGGGGCTTGCAGAGGACTGAAAGCAACAGTATTTCTCCACAAACCAAGCAAAAGCTCCCACACTGCCAGAACCAAGACTTCAAATTACACACAGCATGCTCTAAACAATAACCTCCTGCCTCTGCGATGGGAGACAAATTCAATGGTGCTATTATGAAAAATAAATAATTCATGAGGCCTCCGAGAGTCATGCAGAACACTCTGTGTGTTAAATCCAAACTACTCTGATGCTTCTGGGATAGCTCATGACTGAAAAACTTCACCTCCATCATAAACTGCCTTTAAGAGATTTGCATAAGAGTTTAATCTTCTTACTGGGCAGCAGCTGAAGACAGTGCTAACAAGCACACAATGTAAGCTACCCTCCCCTCCTGTGAAGCTGCCCAGAGGCAGCCTAGCACAGGGTGAAGCTGCAGGCTCAGGCTGTAAGATGGCCGCCCTGCATTAACCCATCGCTTTAAAAGGCACACTACCTCCAGAAACAGGGTATCACAGACAGCAAATTTTAACCGTGCCAAGGTCAAACAAGAACTTTAAGACCAAAGATAATCTGAGTTCAGAAGAGTTCAGGCAGTGAAACATCAGATAAAAAGGCCTGTAAGTAAGATACATCAAAATTTGGAAGCTATTGTTGGACAGATAACAATCCAGATGATTCAAAGGAAATCAAAAAGAAAAAAATCCTTACACCTCGCTTCACCTTGTTTTTCACGTGACCTTGCAGTAATGAGTCTGTAATAAAAGCAGACTGCATTCCTTCTTGTGTACAACAGAAATGGCAGCATCAGCTACGCCTCTCCCTGAAACCCAAGAGGGGATAAGGAAACAACAGCCATCTTGGCCTGATAAAACCTCAGGATATGTAAACAGCACTACGCTTTTTGGTTTTCTTTCACTGGAACACCAGGTGTAGAAAATACTGCATATCTGAAGCAAACTCTTCCACTAAGGCTAATTTTCTACTAGCTTAAGAGATGCTTTTGAAAGAGCAGTGAGGTACTATTGAATAACATTTTTTTAACTTTTCAAAACCTAAACTTCCCAAAACTATATTAAAGCAAACACATCTTGCGGAAGCATAGTGGATGTGCATAAGCGACAAAGAAAATACATTTGACCATGTCAAGCATTACAAAAAAATACATCACTAGTATTTACAACATGAAGTAGCTTTCATAAATGTGGAAGTGTAAAGACTATATTTTCATATGTGTTTTTTTCTTATCACTTTATTTCAACTTTAGAAAGCCCAGAGCTTGTTTAGTATCACTGAGATGTTTCTAGGCCTATCTTACGGGAAGATGGGCACCATTACTTCAGCTGAACAATACGGCAGTGTTTTAACTTAGGCATCACCCGAACCGGGACAGCTGGAAAAGGCTGTGCAAGAAAATAGAGAACTACAGGCCTCAGAAATGTAAAGACACTGCAGTCTTCACAGCAGTCATTAGTGGCAAAGGGAGGAGGAAAGTATATAGGAAGAGGGTATGAAATAGAAAGATAAATTCGGAATTAACTGTAGCTTTTAGAATATATCCATAATCTAAAGACAACACATGGGTTAAAAACCTTACATCAAACCAATATTTCAGACAACTTAAAACTGCAATGCTAGTTGTATTTGAATATCTCTTTTCGACACTGAGACTTGGCTCTGAACCACTATTTCTTACATGACCTGTATGAAGTGTGATTTTAAGTGCTGCATCATAAAAAGCAAAACTACGTACTATCTACCTAAATGACAACAGAGCTTCACAAAAAAAAGCGTGACAAAAATAGTTGTGCAAATGAGATGACTGTAACTGCTTATGACACATTAGACCTTTGATACTGTCATTATTATAAAACTATCGTTAAAGAAAATCAGCAATATTAGACTACCTTTGCAAAAATAAGTTACATGGTTTGCAAAAATGAAATCAACAACCTTGTAATTATCTGATGATTTTATTATTTTAGATTAACTTCCAATGACTCAAAGAATGTAGTAAGAATTTATACTCCCTTTTTGTGTCCATTCAGATACCCATTAGAATAGAGCAGGACCATGCCTTTCTTCTCAGCGGCACCAATTTATTTCCATGATTTTCTAGTATACTGCAATATTCTTTCCTCACTTACTTTAACCAGCACCCAAGGGCACACTAGGTCCTGTCCCCATCCCCTTCCCCCCCAACTTTCCTTAAAAGTACACAGGAGAAATAAGTTTCTACACTCAGGAGCCTTACAGAGACATCTATCACAAGCAGTGAGATACAGAGGGAAATAAGATGGGGTCATGAAAAAAAGAGGCAAGGTAACCTCAATAAATGAATGCGGCTTATTAGTAAGTACAAGCCTTGATTGTGCTGCTGTGTTCTTGTTTGTTTTTAGTTTCTCCATTACCTCAGTCACTGTTTCCTTTCATGCTACATTTAGATGAAAAGGGCACTTGACTTCACAGTCTAAGTGTCCATAGCCTCATAAAAGTAATACCTTAAGTTTTTCCACAAAAGAAAACACTAGGATTGTGAAACCATTTAAAAAAAAAAAAAAAAAGGCAGGGAAAGCAGGGGTGAGGGAGAGAGAGAAGTAGAGGGAAATATATTAAGACAGGAGTGAAAAATGTAATATTGGGTATAAAGCATTGCCACTGCCAGTATGGCAAATGAGAGAAGGCAAAGCAAAATATGTAGTATGATCACAGGTAAAGACAACAGGGAGAAGTTACTCAAAGATACTGAAATAAAGCCTAAGACATTTTCGACCAGGTAAAATAGGAAAGAGAAATGAGTTGACAGTTTTGAAAAAGCAGCAATATGATCAGAGTGGCAGACCAAACATGGTGCTAGGGGAATATAAGCATCTAGATCTCTGCTGCAAAACTAAGGAGTAAGTGTGAATGCTGGGGAAGATAAGGTCGCTTACAGCACTGCGATATAACAACACCACAGTCACCAAAAGAACTGGAATAACTTAGTTGGTTACTTTGAATGTATATCTTTGTAGCTAGCAAATAATCTTGCCTGCCTAAGATTCAGGATCTGACACAACTAGCTAGACAGATATTTAGCCAAAAAATCATGTAACCCATTCATCCAAACAAACACGTAGTATTATTACATGTTCTGTGTCAACATTTGAATATTGTGCAAAATACTATTTACAGTATAATTATATTAACTTTTCATAGAGAGTACAATGGCGGGAAAGAGAGAAATAGAACAGTGATCTGGAGGACAAGACTTAGCCAATAATCTCACAGAGAGGGGTCTCGGACCACAAAAATTATTACTTAAAATGGGACTTGACTGCAGCTTCCCACAGCACATATTCTTATCTCTCAGCAAAGTGACAGCCAAACCAACTGTAAGCAGCTATAAACTTTCTTCTGTGAATAAGCACAGCGAGAGATAAGACTGTACATGATGAACTTTTAACACATATGCCAGTGTTTATCAGCCAAACAGGAAAGTTTATTATTAAAAGAGAACCAATTTAGATTAACTGGCTTGCAAAACCAGGCCTCCATGTCAAGCCACCATCAAATACAGGAAGAAAACAAGGTGATTGCTCACACAATGCGAACAAAGTTATTAATAACTTCTAACTGGAAATATTTAGCCTGCTACTTAAGTTACCCATGGCAATATTCACAGTCCTGGAACAACTCTCCCATTTTTTGCAAATACCCAGCAGCCATCCAGGAGCTAACACTATCATCCTGGTCTATGGGACTGCTTGAAGACCAGCTAGTTAAAATTAACACACTTAACAGCTTGAATATGTACTTTATCCAGAAGGCATATTCAAATATTATCCATTCTTGTAGGCCTTTTTACGTATCCCAGCAATTCACAACTTTAAAGAGCTATACCATGACCTCAGGTGAGACCAACGTAAAGGAACAAGAAAGCATCAAAGGGAAAAGATATTTTCCTTTTTTTGATGGTAGTTTTTAATGATAGTACTAATCTACCAGTTTTACTGAGTAGAGAAATTTGTGCCCAAACTGATCCTGAGTTCCAGCTAGTGTAATGCCTTACAAACAAGTTAGCTAGTGGAGCGTTTCAGCAGTTTTCTGTGAACTGGTTTTAACAATGATTTTCTGTTCTGATAATGGAGTATATATAAACACTCCTTACCTTTTAAAATTTTTTTAATTTTTACCCAGTTTACACAGCTCTATGCTAGTACTACCCTACCTAGTATTGACTTTTTTTTTTTTAATTCACTTGAACTGCCATCACTCCTGCTTGTATTTGAATATTTATTCCATGCCATTCAAAACAAATACAGCAGAGAAACTTAGTAAAAAACATTGATGCTTGAAGATGGTATCAAGCAGAATTTTAAACATAAAAATCAAAGACAGCAAGCAAACAGATCTCACCTGTTCAGGAAAGCATTTCCAAAGCGGCTGAGTTTGCGGAACGGCTTCTTAGGATCAACAACTAGGGCATTTCCAGGAATATTTCCTTCTGAATCTCCATACATCACAGCAATAAAAGAATCTGTGGTAGGCTCTGGACCAATCCGCATGCCTGGAAAGTCTTGTTCGAGCAGGTATCTAGAGATGGAGAATACATGAAGTAACAGAATGAATAACTGGGAACTATAGCAAAAGCAAATACCTGTAATTCGCTTGAAAATTCCCAAGGATATACACACTCTAGAACAATAAAATTACATTTTTCCTGCATTTCATTATTTCTATTACCTAGGGAGAAAAAACCCAACCCCGCAACTGAATTCCAGTTTTTCACAACTAGGTAAAAGTATAAAGTAAATCCCTTTACAAAAACAGGGTGGAAGTTTTCCCTCAGCCGCAGCACCGGAACCATTCAAGTTGATGCTTCTACCAACGATCCTAGTCCTGTAGGTTACACTGCTGCTTCTGTGTGTGTTTTCAAGCCTATACAAGTGCTGCTGGTACTAAAAGGGAGCGGTTTGAAAGAACGCATGAGCAGCGTCAGTTTGCTGACAGATCTAACCCTTCTATGAACTCTGTATGATTTTACTAACTTGAACTCATCTTACCACAGGCAGAGATAACACAGTTATGAGACAATGCAGGTGCATCTGTTTGGGAGTAAGGAAAGGATTTTTTTTTCTTTTGACCTGCATATCAAGAAGTAATTGTTAACTAAGTCAGACCTGCAGAACTTGAGGCCTAACAGCAATGTACTTCCAAGAGGCATCAAGTCAGGCAGTGCTGTACCAACAGAAACCATCTTGCATCTCCCTTTCAGTAATCCACTCAGAGATGCAGACAGCACACACTCAGCGGACCAAGTCTGATAAACCAAGTCTTGACTTTCCAGACAACAAGGTCTCAAACGAAGGATGTGCATATTTAAATGCTAGAACTTAATGAAACCAGAGCATGTGTTTATAGAAAAAGCCTGTTTGCATCCCTTTCTGGATGGCAAGTGAGAAGCAAGAGAGGCCCCAGGCCTATCAAGCAAGCCTGCAGCTTACAACGTTCCTCCAGCCTACACTATGATAACGGCCACTTTTCAAGAACAGAAGCAGACAACTCTGCCTAACTTTAAAGCATGAGTGCTATTGTCCTCATTCACAACAGCATCATCTTGAAAATGTTCACCTCAAGACTAAGACCAAATTGTTTTCAAGCATGCTGTAATTTAACATTGCAGGAGCATTAAAATTGTCCAATCAACTCAAGTCATCTTGTAATTATTAATTCCATGGGTTCCATGTCACCCTGGAGTTCTTAAAAAAAACCCACAATTTTAACCAACTACAATTTAACTTTTTACATAATCAAAGCTGGATTTAAATGAGAATTCTTCTTCAGGCACAGGTCATGGTCCTACATCCAATGACACCACTAGTTAGGTTTGAGCACATCTATATTAGTATCAGTCTTTGAATAATAGGCTTGTTCTGGCCCTTAATCCAACAGCACTATACCTTTTCTTCTATCATTTCATAAACGAATATTGACTTGAGAGGACTTGCAGGCTGCTTTTGCTGCAAAAACCATTCTACAAAGTATCTGTACTTGCTGAACAATCTCTGTTTGTCTTTAAATTCAATACCCAAACATTCACAGACTTTATAGATCATGGCACAGAAGCTGAATTTAAGGAACTAAACATATATGACACATTTCAAAGATCTTTTTCCACTAGTCTTAGCAAACTGGCTCCAAATAGCTCAACCTATGATCAGGGAGTCTTAAAGCATAGGACAGTTATTTACATGAGATTTCCTGCAGCTTTCTGCTTCCAAACAAATGAAAAAAATGGCAATGCTAAAAACTGTGGGAAAGGAGGAACACAAGAACAGTCATGCCAGAACATGCCAAAGTTGATTTGTTCTCCTTGTAGAACAAGCTGTAGCTAATGCATGGTAACAGGGAAATAAAACTAACCCCTCTCCAAAAGCAAAAAACCCAGCACTCAAACCTCTCTGCACATGCAGGAGTGTCCAATGCAGCATATTCCTCATCTTTACGAAGTAGATCATGTATCAAAATGAAGGCAAAACTCCTTTGATAGCTCAGCAGTTGAACCTTTATGCATGGAAACCCAGGACTTTCAAGTGTTGTAGCAAACAGTTAAACACCTGAAACACAAAAGCATGTTCCTGCCTCCTCACGGAACAGCACTGCAGACTAGAGCCCTCTAAAACAGGATGTAAAGGCTGACTCACAAGAGGCACTACCATTTTTCACTAAAGCCATACTGGCCTTATCCACGGCATTGAAAAAAAAGTTCAATTATACTTTTAACTTCTAAAATAAGATTTTTAACTTGCCACGATAAAATGTTCTACTTCAAACTCTCTTAATTCTGCTTTTCCTCATTGCCCTTCTTTTAAAAGAGAGAGGAACTCTATGAGACTTGCCGCTAAGTTCTTCTCTTGATACGAATTGTCATTCCCAGACTTCTGCTGACAGAGGCAGCAGTTCATAAGGTGGCAACACATATGACAAGAAGCTCCCAGAGAAGCAGTAAAGAACATTGTACTGAATCAAATGCAAAAGAGAGAAGTCCCAAAGCCCAGGTCACAGAAAACTACATGATGGGATCTGAATGCAGGATAGGACACCTCCAGGGTAATAGGATAATTGCTATCCATCGTAAGCCCATGAACCTGCCATGGCATGGGTATGGGTATGGACATTCAGTGGTGGTGGTCTTTTAGATGACTAAAAAAATAATCTCTTGGCCTGCTCATGAAGTTGCTTCACATGTTAACATTTGCAGAATTTACAAAGGGTTGCAAGTATGGAGCACCTTTCAGGATTTCCAACATCTGTATTTTTAGCTTGGAACTCAAGAGTGCAAATTCAGATTAGCTGCTTATTGAAATTATTAAATAAGAATAAAGTGCTGCTGAACTGCAATGATACTTCCAAGTTAATGTCACAGATGCAGCTTTAAAAACCAGGCTTTTATAGTGATAACAATCCAGGGGGGCAAGATCTCCTTCCGAATACCAAGTGCCACCCAACAGTCACAGTGCTGAGCCTGGTACAGCTATTCAACAGAGAGAGGAAACACTTTGCGAGGCAGCTATCTGCCATTAAGACTGGATCACAGTTGCACATCGAGAATCAGTACAGACTAAAATAAACCCTGGTTCTTGAGCACTGGCTGTACAAGCCGTATCACACTTCTGCTCAGCATGAAAACGTCAGTTTCACTTAGCCACACGAAAGGGATGAGCAGTCTTCTGTGAACTGAAAAGCTGCAAATGTTTTTCTACAGTATGCTATAGTAACACAGGAAAATACCTGGATTTTTAGCATCCGCAACTGCATGCCCTTCTCAGGAATTTTCAGCAGAGAGGGAGTTCAAAAAGGTTCACAGGAAAAATGCTTAAAAATAGCAAGCGTCCCAAAGACAGTCTAGATCAAACAACAGGCATCCTGTTGACTCTTCTCCCTTTGTTTTTACCTGGCCTATAACCTTTCTGCTTTGCCAATAAACATTCATCTATGTTCCTTTGCAAGATCTATAGCCAGACTACGGGAAACTGGTTTACAAAGTTCCAGAGATAGCAAAGATTACTCACAGTTTCAGATACTGATAATCATCTGAAGTGTAAATGCTTTAGCTAAGCCATACTAATGCACGAACACAGGTGAGCTGGACAGAGCAGCAGATACACGTGATACATGGGGAGACGAACTCAAGTCTCCTTTCATAAGGCTGCTCACCTCCATACTCCATGCTGCAGCAAGTCCTCCACGCTTTTTTTTTTAAAAACACAACAAAACTAGCAGATGTTTGTTTTAGTGTAAGAATTCTGCTCCAAATAACTCAAATAAAACTTTCATGTAGAGCTAGTAGCAAAGAAGTTCCAGCCTTCACCTAAAGAAATTAAGAGGGACCTTTTCCCCCCAGAAGAAATAGATACAGCCCATTCTCGCCACACAAGCTATTGCATTCTACTTGCAGACTCCAGGTATTATGCATACAAAAAGGTGCTTTCACAAAACCCAGGTCCGGCTGAGTTAAAAGAAGGAAGTTTACCATTTTAACCTCTGAGCAAAGTAAAAGCACAGCCTGGCAAGCAGAGGAACTTACTTCTGTTTTTCCTCATCCTAATAAGTTGTTTAAAAAAAAAAAAAAAGTCAGTCTCTTACACTTTTAAAATAGAAAAGTTATTAACAAGTTAAACATTATTAGACTAGAAGTTCAATTCATTGTTAGAAGAAAAAGGTCAGCAACTACAAACTCGCCCTGACCAGCTCCTTTCTCTTTCCCATACACTACAATTCTCCTCTCCTGTCCCTCCTTCCTTTCCCACTTTCTCTAAAGCAGCCAGGAGAAACCGAGAGAATTACAGAAGCTGCAAGGCCAAGCAGCTCACATGCAAGATAAGCATTTGGCTCTCACCCATCCTCCCACCCCATTAAAAACAATCCCACAAGCATTAACATTTGGGCCTGGATATATTTGTTTGAATTGTCAGCATTGTCAGATACTTGAGTAAAACAGTATCACCATGCTACACCTTACACAGCGAAACTGGCCGGTTTTACTGCGTTGTTCCAAGCGCAAAGAGGATAAACAGCACCAAGTGAAAAAACAGAAGAGCTGTTAGAAACCTGGAAGTGTTTGTTTGCATATCTTACTCCCCAGGGACATTCAGTCATTGCTAGATCAGTGTTTTCCATGAAGTCTTGGTGGAAGGAACTGGGTGGATGTGGATGTGTCACAGGTATGAAAATGTGAAGTTCTCACGATAATGTCTAAATCAAAGTAAATCCCAAATGAATATTTGTCAGCTAAACAGAACTGTTATGTTCACACATAAACCTAATAGTAAACACTTAAGTAGATCTAGTGTGCCCTCCCGACTATGAAATGGAGAAACGCAGAACAAAAAGCAGTTTTAATTAAGATTTTAAATAATTTTGCTTGTTAAAAGGCTAGCGTGAAAAAAAACTATAGTCCAACTTCATTCTAAGAAAAACTATCTATAATAAACCCAGAATTATGACAATCTTGAGAGTATATGATATTTTTCCATGGGAAATTCAGCCTATCAGAGGGGAAATTTATTTGTGGCTGACCTGGACACTATAATATTTTCCCATGTCTACTTCTAAGCCTTGCCTTCAGCATACAAGCACTTCTCTTTTTTTGCTTTTCTTTTTCTCCTCTAAATTGGATTTTGAGTAACAGTCACTGTGATACTATTGTCCAAGTTGCTGCCCATCTTGAATGGAGCATTTTCTCATGCTGATTCGCCCAATTATTATCTATTCTATAGTGAACACTGATGTAATGAACGTTCATCATGGTGAGGTCAGACTGTGGCCCTTTAGAAGCAGTGAACAGCTGTTCTATTACTGATGGGGCTCAACAGTCAATTCCCATCTTCTCCAAAAATCTAGTAAGGGATTAAACCACTCTGCAATCTACCTGAAGTGGAGACAGGAGAAAGGGGTAAGTGGGTGAAGAGAAGGGCACATCACAGTAGAAGTCACCTTCTCCATTGTATCAGATATTTTAAGAAAACACATGAGAACACATCTTTGAAAACTTTACCTCTGTCAAATTTGTCTGGGCATCTTCACCCAGCAGTGACCAATGCTAAAAAAGAGCTGGAAATAGCTGCGATAAATGATAATTCTCTTCTCATTCAGATTGTACATTAGTATCAGTCAACCCTATTGCTCAGTATTTTATGGTTAAGGTGATAATAAGTTACTCACAAAGCAACAGTACCACAACTACATCTAAGGCACTGCAAGGAATATCAACGTTTCCAAGTGCAACGTTGACTTGCACTCTAGTCAAATATGGGCAACTGTAAAGGACAGAAAAGTTGAATGTCCATAAATCAAGAACGTGTGTTCTCATCCAAGGCAAAGTCTTACAGGAGGGGAAGAAAGTTTCCTATGAATTGCAAATGATGCAGCAACTCAGCTGACAGGCAGAACAGGTTCTGGTACGTACATACTTGGGACCGTTCTGTCTCTGTATTACCCATGCTCTCACCATCCCCTGTCCGTAAGCCTGGTAAGAACACTTATCTGGAAATACATAGAAACCAACAGAGCAGCTGTACTTTTAAAGAAGAAAATGAATCAGCATGGCTAAAGAAATGTTAGGAAAACCCACATCACCCACTTTGTTTGTGGGAATTCAGTAATAATCAGTAAAGAAACAAGTTCAACTTAAAGCTTCCAATTTGCTAGTTGTAAAACCAGAAAAGAAACATGATTAGCTCTGTAAACATCTGAAAAGCTCTCAGGTGACTAAAGGTAAACATCGCTCTTCAATGGAGAAGAAGGGAGGTAGGTCTTTCCCACTGTAAAAAGAAAAGCATGTTATGGCAAGGCTGCCAGTAACCTTTGGAACCGAAAGAGAAACATTTGTAAAATTTACGGAAGAGGGGGGGGGGGACACAACTTTCCATATACCACGTGTTTTTTGCCCCAAACTGTTGTCTCGGTTCTCTCTTATCTTCACATCCAACCTATGCATTAAACTACTTTTGGGAAGGAAGAGGGAGGAGATAAGGCTAAATGGTCTGTGATGGCCGATGCGGTCATGCCGTTTTAACGCGAAGTGTCTATAATTTAAAGATTAAAAAAAGTTAAGAGGAAGTAGACAGCGACGCTACACTTTCTCAGCAGAACACGAAATCGAGATAATATTCTTAAACAGGAAGCTGGCAGGAGAGTTACGGAGCACGAACAGGCTCGGGAGCGGCACCCATCCTCGACACAGCACGGCAGGCACTCGGATGAGCCCCCCCCCTCGGGAGGGACACGCACAGCGGCCCCGGGCTGTCACCGCTGCCCGGGACTCCCA